CTGAAATTGTAATTTTTGCTTTACAGCACGTTCAAGATTTATTTCAGCTTTACAATGTGAAATAAGGTACCTAAAACTTGATATAGTACTGCTCCTACAAACAGGGTACTGTCAGAGCTTGTTACCTTTGTACTCCTGAAACACGTGTTAAGTTCTTTTCATCTTTCCAGAGTTTCAATTCACCAAGAAGCCTGAGTGACATTTTGTGAACTATGTTCTCATGATATTGTTTAGCAAATCTTAACTCTCAGCATGATGATTTTTCCCTTGCCTGCAGATTTTGAGCCAGTCAACATCAGCACAGGATAGTTCTGCCAGCAATTCCCATCTGAGCAGCTCTCTATTTTTTTTACCTCGTCTCCATATTATCAGGTGTATCTTACTTCATGTTTACAGCAATGCCATCCACACTAAGATGTATGTTTGGCCAATAACATCTGTAGCACTTTTTTTCCCATGTCAGCGTCTACCTACACACAAATACCACTCCCTACTTCACACCTTGTCCTGTTACAGGCAGTGAGCTACCCACGAATCCTAGTGTATTAACTTCTGCCCAGAGAAACCGAAACTTTAACCACTCCAGGGTCTGCTGGAAGGGCAACACAGCACGACACAAGCAATCCAGGAGCTTTCCGAGGTGCAGTGATGACAGCTTCCTGCCACAGGTGACAAGAAGACATGCTCTGCTGGACCTGATACTTACAAACAAGGAAGAACTGCTCAGGAATTGAGAGAAGCCTTGGCTGCAGTGACCATGAGATGGTGGAGTTCAGGATCCTGAGAGAAACAAGACATATAGCAAGCTTACAACCCCAAGCTTCAGAAGAGCAGACTTTGGTCTGTTCAGGGATCTGCTTAGAAGAATCCCATGGGATATGGTCCTGAAGAGGAGGGTCCAGGAGAGCTGGCTGATTTTCAAGAATTGCTGGCTCCACTCAAGAATGGTCCATCCTGAGTAACAGGAATTCAAGCAAGAGTGGTAGGTTGCCTGTTTAGGTGAACAAGGAGCTCCTAATAAAACTGATACGTGAAAAAGAAGCATATAAGAGGTGGCAGCAAGGACAGGTGATGCAGGAAGAACATAGAGACCACTTTGGGCACACAGGGGCAGGGTTAGGAAAGCCAAAGTCCACCAGGAGCTCAATCTGGAGAAGGATGCGAATGGCAACAAGAAGGGCTTCTACAGGTATATCAGCAATAAGAGGAAGACTATAGAAAATGTGGGCCCTCTACTGAAAACGTGACAAAGGACATGGTGAAAGATAAGCTTTGCCTCAGTCTTTACTGGTTAAGATTGGCCTTCAGCAATCCCAGCCCCTGAGACCAGTGGGAAAGTCTGGAGCAAGGAAAACTCAAGTCAATGGAAAAGGATCAGATAAAGGAACATTTAAACAGATTGGACATACACAAGTCCATGGGACTTGATAGGACACACCCAGGAGGGCTGAGGGAGCTGGCCAGTGTCATTGTGAGGCCACACTCAATTATGTTTGAAAGCTCATGACAACTTGGGGAGATTCCTAAGGACTGGAAGAAAGCCAGTGTCACTCTCACTTTCAAGACAGGTAAGAAGAAGGACCTACGGAACTACAGGCTGGCCAGCCTCACCTTGATCTCTGGGAAGGTGATGGAACAAGTAACCCTGGAAATCATTTTCAAACACATTAAGGACCACAAGGTGATTGAGAGTAGTCAGCATGGATTTATGAAGGAAAAAATCATGCCTCATGGACTTGACAGGCTTTTATGATGACTAGTTTGGTGGAAAAAAGAACATCCGTGATATCCTTTATCTTGTATTTTTCAAGCCTTTGTCTCCCATAGCATCCTCAAAGACAAGCTCATGAAGTATGGGTTAGCTAAAGAGACAGTGAGGTAGACCAAAAACTGGCTCCATTGCCAGGTTCAAAGGGTTGTGACTAGCAGCACGAAGTCCAGCTGGGGGTCAGTCACTCCTGGAGTACCCCAGATGTTGATACCTTGAGCCAGTATCATTTACTATATTCATTAATTATCCTGATGACAGGACAGAGTGCACCTTCAGCAAGCTTGCAGATGATACAAAATCAAAGAGACTGGCTGATGCACCAAATGGTTATGCTGTCATTCACAAGTACCTTGACAAGTTGGAGATACGAGCAGAGAACCACCTCATGAAGTTCAACACAAGAAAGCAGAGAGTTCTGCACCTGGGAGAAATACCCCCATGCAACAGTAAACACTGGGGATTCAATCACCTGGAAAGCAGCTGTGGGGGTCCCGGTGGACAAAAAATTTGAACAAAAGACAGCAACTTGTCCTTCTGGCAAAGAAGGCCAGCAGCATTCCAGGCTGCGTTACGCAGAGCATAGCCAGCAGGTTGAGGGAGGTGATTCTTCCCCTCTCTTCAGCACTGGTGAGGTACATGTGGAATGCTGGGTCCAGTTCTAGGCTCCCCAGTGCAAGACAGACATGGGCATCCTGGACAGGATGTAGCAAAGGGCCACAAAGATGATTAAGAAATTGGAGCACCCGACATATGAGAAGTGGCTGAGAAAGCTGGAGTTGTTCAGCCTGGAGGTGGAGGGTGGCAGGGAAATTGTATCAATGGATATAAATACCTGATGTGGCAGGGAGTAAATAGGCACTTGGCACAAATTTAAATACAAGAAATTCTGTTTAAACATATGGAAAAAAAAATTATTGTTAGCATGATCAAACACTGTCATAGGCTGCTCACAGAGGTTGTGGAGTTTCCATCCTTGGAGATATTCATAACCTGACTGGACACGGTTTTGGGCAATCCGGTCTAGGTGATCCTGCTTAAACAGAGGGACTGTACTCTATGATCTTTATAGGTTCCTTCCAGCCTCAACCATTCTCTGAATCCATAATGGTCCCTCATGTCATTACTCACATAGAATGTATCTTTTCTGGTAATTAATTGGTGTGTTCCCACAACATCAGCCTCATTTACAAATGAAGAAGCAATTTTAATCAGTCTTAAACGGAAAACCCACTCAAACAAATCAGAACAAACACAAACTACAGCTGCATGCAAAAAGCACAAACCAAATTAGTTCAGAGGTGTGGTTTGGGCCAAACTGTTCCAATAAAGTGAGAATATAATATCGAACTATTTCTACACAAGGTTTTAAAAACATGCACCCCTCCTTCCTGTTCCAAAACAATCTGGATGAGGGAACAGTGTGCACTGTCAGCA